CCTCGTCATGTGTCGAAACTCTCCCCGCTCCTGTAAATCCAGCATCTCCCTTTGATCCCAGCAGAAGTAAATTATCTCTCTCTCTCTCTCTCTCTCTCTCTCTCTCTCTCTCTCTGCGTGGCTTTTAGGTTTTCGTATATTTGTGATTTGTTGATTATGTTTTGTGCCCAAGATTCATGATTTTGGTGATATATGAGCAACCCTTTTATAATTTCTGGAAAGCGCCGGTGCCGGGTTGAAATTTTTCTTGAATTGTTTCTGATTGTTTTATTTTTAGTATCCTTTGAAGTTAGAAACTTGAAATCTTATTACGTGTTGTAGAGTTGTTTTGTCTGCGTTATTTTCTTTTTCTTTTCCAAGGATGTCGGTGTGTTATATTTGTTTAATTGTTTCTGGTTAGATTGAGCTTTTATATCTGGTATGTATGTAATTTATTGGATTTGGTTAGTTGAAGAGTTAGTTTGGGATGAACTTAGTGCACATGATTGTAGACAGTTGAAATTTGCAGTCACGTTGTGAAGTGCTGTATTCAGATAGGTGCTTATCCTGCCATGCTCTTATGATTGAGCTAGACATGATACAGAAAATGTCCAGCCTCTATGAGTGTAATCGTTTGCTTAGGTTTGAATGTTTGTGTGTAAACTAGGCATCACTATTTNCTAGGCAGCACTATTTATATACGTGTTAAAGAACTCACGTTTGGGAAGGGTGACCCATTTGATGTAGCACGATCTTTGTTTGGTGGTTGATGGTGGGATATTGGATGCCCCTATATGTCTATTCCGCTTCACAGAGGTTTTCTTGGGGGTGGAGGCTTTTGTGCTTATTACATTGACTTGCTCATGAAATTATTTTGAGTTATATTTTGGGTGATAGACATATGATCCTGGTTAAGGTATAAGGATCACGTGTGTTAAGGCACAAAGATCACGTGTGCTGCAATGGGGTTGTAGCATACTGTTCCAATTCCATTGGGTCCTCAAGGACCCTTGTGAAAAGCTTCTGCTCTTCATGTTCTCTTCCTGTGTGCTGCAATGGGGTTGTAGCATCTTGGCCAATTTTCTCTGTAGTGTTGGCTTATCAGATACAAATAGGCAGTGCCCTGTCACGTTACCCTTCAGCCTTCTTTGATTGAGACTTGTTGACCGATCTCATCCGCTTGAAAATTCATGTGGAAGTTGCTATTTATACTTTGTAAAGAGTTGCCTCGGCCCCATTGCTCTTATTGCACTGAATTAGATAGCCCCTAGATCCTACCTTCAGCATCTTCTTTCCACTCGTATGAGAAATTTAGTGGATCAGTGTGCTGATCTGTCACCCTATCTTGCGTATTTTCTACTTTAATTTTTGTGTAGTGTCTCCGGATGATATCTAATTTATCCTCTGAGGTGGTTTATTCTGCTTGAAAGCTGGGAAGTAATATGCTGGGGATAAAAAGTGTCTTGTGGTTCTTGTTTTAAATATATATTTTTAGTAGAGACTGGGCAAAAATATAGTTGAGGATTGAGAAATGTTTCTTGACGTAGGAAGCAAAGTAATGGAAAACTTATGAAATAGGTGTCATATATTAGTGCTTTCTTGGTAATACTTTTAAGTGCTTATGAGTTATGAGTTCTACGGAATGTGTGAATAATAAGGAATACTAAGTTGTGGGTCCTATGTTTGACCAGCTTAAAAAAAATTCAAGCTTTGCCAAACTCGCACTTAAAGAAGCAACTTGATCTGCTATGACATTTTGGGGCTTGATGTTGAATAGTCTGGAGATATTCTACTGCGATAAGAAGTGGTCTGGAAACATAGAAACCTGGAATATTAGAGAAATGAGATATTATTTATGGAGAGCCAGGAGACTGTTGCTTGTATATAATTATTCCAACGGATTGGAACAGAATAATGAGTTCTTTGGCCAAACTAGAATGGAATGAAGTATATTTGTGTTTGTAGTGCAAAGAGAATTAAATCTGTCTTAATTGAAACTACATGCTATATCTTGTTGAACATGTGACCTTTTCCTTGCTTCTTTTGAAGTGATTAATATTATAAGCAAAGGGATGATGTATATTTGTTTTACTGTAAAGAGAATTAAATGTGTCTTAATTGAAACTACGTGCTATATCTTGTTCCGCACTTGAACTTTTCACTGCTTCTTTTGAAGTGATTGGTATCATTAGAAGGAAGGCATTGATTAAAGACTTGGCTGCTGTATACCATGCTGAGTGCCTCACGTACTGTCAGGAACTTTTAGAACTTCAAAGTAAAGTTGATGAGGTAAGAATTTTCATGCTACATATTTTCTTTGTTCTCTTAATCAAGTTTTTGTTATTGATTCTTAACATAACTGTAAATTGTGATTTATTTGGATGGTTTGTTTACTATGCTGATACTTAGCTCTATTATTCATCTGTAATTCATTGGCTCGAAAAAGTATCGTTCCTTAAATTACATGCTGATTGACCATTTTATGAAGTGACTTTATCTTCCAGTGTACCCTGTTGGGATACTTAGATTCCTGCTCTTAATTGAGTTGATCAGATTCAATGCATAATTTATTCTACAGTTTCATGGTATATGGTTTACGAAATTTCTATCATTTGTCCTGTATCATTCCGGATGGACTTTATTTCTTCTAAAACGATAGTTCATTTTTTTGTTACTAGATAATTACATGAGACTAGCTGCAGGTTTCTATCGGTTGAAGCTGAGGTTTGCAATTCTAGAAGCATATTAGTATTTTAGGGGGTGTTTGATACATATTATTGAGTGAATAATGTATTTTAATTAGTGACGTGATGGAAAATATGTGGTTAAAAAATAGGAAAAAGTTTTAGATGTGGTGAAAAATATTATTTTATTAAAGAATGTGTGGTTGAAAATGAATTTTGAAATAATGTAGATCAAACAGGGGAATTGTCTAATGCAGTAGATGTTAATAGATATCCTACTATATGTTTATTAAAATCCTACATTTCAGGTGTTCAGTGTGATTCTTGAAGTGCAGACTCCTAAATGGAGTTTATAAGACACTGGACGACTATCAATCTTATATGACATAATGGAAAAGTTACTGGACTTGAAATGGTAGTAAGCCATGTCATGAAATAAGTATTGTTAATTAATTTAGGCCGTCAAGTATTTAGCCTTCTTAAACATGACATAAATTTTCTTCTCAAAACTTTTGTTGTATCCCTGAATTTTTCCCTCCTTTTTGGGCTTCATATTACTGGCAGGATCGAGATCCTAATAACTAGTATTCCTTTGTGTTAGGTGTGAAACTTTTTCAAAGGCTAGAGTATAAGGTCGAAAGTTACATTTAAGTATCTTATTTTGCAGAGCATATTTGAGTTTTTTTACAAGTCACCTTTTCTTAAGCTTGGGCAAACATGCTCAGAAGTCTTGTAATGTCTTTGTAACTGTAGATCGGTTTACTCTTTATGTTGTGACCTATGGTTTTCTATCATGATGATTTATATTTTTTGTTTTCAAATTACTTGCAGCCGTATACAGATACAACAGAGACAAAAACTCCATTAGATTCGAGGAAAGAAAAGATGAGGCCACCCAAACGCCTGAAAAAGTCCCGTTAGGTATCAATTTCAACCTAAAATTTGGATCTTGATCGTTTACACTCACAAGCACTACGCTTACATGCAAATTGCTACTTTTCTTTGCAGTTTTGTTGATGAAACTAGATCTATCTACTTGCCATTTAGCAGAGATTTACGTTCTTAATGCTTATATACTTTTGGGCCGTTGCAGGGTGCAGGATGCGGACAGCTTACAGAAATTTGTCTCACCATTCGGTAGATTGAATTGCGTACTTTGACAATGTGTACAATAATTTGATGCTATATAGAGCCAGTCGTCTATGATTTGCTCATTAAACGTCTACGAAATCACTCGGACAGTCAAATAGTAACGTTTGATACTCCTAATTTAGTAAGTAATTTCTGAAAGTGAACCACTGTGTTGATTGTATTGTTTTCTGCTGCCACATTTGTGCTCTCGCAATTACCAAATGTAGTATGGATCCCTCGCAACTGTCATTACATACTTGCATTAGGATACACGAATCAATACAAGGCATTGTAAATTACAGCAGGGTGAGTTTAAAGATGGTGAGTGGTTAGGAGTTTTATGTGACCATCGATCGGCCACTTCTTTCCGAAAGAATTTACTTGGTAATAAACAGAGTAAAAATAACTAATACTCACCATATATTGGAATCTTATCTATGTCAATATTGAATGTATAGGAGTACAATTAGCAAAGACTACGAGTGCACGTGTGGATCTCCGAAAATTTCATAAAATAGAATTTAATTATTCTATGTGCTATATGTATTAATTCAATTTTACTTTGGCCAAATATTTAAATTTTTATAGAGTGATGATAAGTATATTAATATTGGATTTGTTGGATGGTTTGTATTTAGTGGGTGTTTGGTGAGGATTAAAATTGAATTTTTAATAGATTGTGATGAAAGTTTTTAAAATGTGTGGTTGAAAAATTGTGGGACCCATGGAAGATGTAGTTAATATTGATTATTTGACTTTCACTTAGATTAAAATCTGATTTTAATTCGTACCAAACATAGCCTTAATCGCGTATATTGGGTTCGAGAAAAACTTAATTCGAATAAACGAAGTCCAAATTATTGAGGTCGAAAGATATTATCTTAAATTGTAATTAATTAAGTTAAATGGGAATTTAATATTTGATTTCAGCATGTTTGAATCCTACTATGATAAGGTTTAATTTAAAATTTGTTTTAAATATTCTTATTCAATTACGTTATCTACACGTTTCCCAAAATGCACAATGTTTAGGGTCTAGCTCATTATTGCCTCTGTGTGTACATAAATACATATATATGTGTGTGTATGTATGACATGATGGTGGAGGGTACAAACAAAAATACACATGTATATACGCTGCACAGAAGCAGAGGTAGAAAAATAAAGTTTGAAACGTAATTTTGGATTTTATCTTGTAAAAAAGTAATTTCATCTAACGGGGTAGGATTACGATGTGCAAGTAGTTTGTCTCATTTAATTTATTTTTTCATGTTGATAAATATTATGCTAATAAAAATTGTGATATGTATATTATGGTTATCCGGTACCAAAGATATGATATTTGTTGAGCTCGTACTGATTTTTAAATATATGATATGATGGTATGATATTTTTGACTCATGATTTAATATTTTTATTCGGGATTGCACAAAATATTCGTGTCCTACTTGAGTATTCTCATATACTCATCATTTTCCATACTTTTCATAGCAAACATGATGCTTTGTAGCGAAATTGTCTATTAGAGCATTTGTAGAGGGAACGATTGTGTGGCATGCTTATCTGCATTTGAGAGCGATGGTGGCACCACATCGACCATGGGCAAGTGGTATGATGGCGTCGATTGAGGGGTCGGTTGTGTAGAGAGAGAAGAAATTGAGAAATAATTAGGGTTTGGGAGGATAAATGGTAGTGGGGTGGATATGTAAAATAATTTTATAATAATATTATTAATATTTAGAATTTTAATTATATTTGATTTTTGAAAGAAAAATGTGTAACTCTTAATTATGAATTGAAATCTTAAAAACACTTGGTCCCGGTAATTTCCACTTATTATTTTAGAATTTTGTTAGGGTAGTTATGTTCCCACAATTTTTATTTATTACATTAAAATTTAATTGTGCTTAAGATTTTTAACTTTTGCTCATTGTAGAACTTATGTTCTTAACCATTTTTCATCGAATTCTTATATTTAATTTCCCATCAATTAGCATATGTTGTCCTTGATGATGATATATTGTCAAAATATTTTTTGGATTTGTCTACTTATACATTAATGGTATCCATAATGCACAAGTGGCAGCCCCCCATTGGGGGTCGGCTGACGCGATTTAATTTCCCATCAATTAGCATATGTTGTCCTTGATGATGATATATTGTCAAAATATTTTTTGGATTTGTCTACTTGTGCATTATGGATGCCATTATGATATCCATAATGTACAAGTAGCACATCCCATATTTTTTTTGCGTACTTTGGAATGATGGAAAAATATGCTGTCGTATTTTAATATTTATTAAGTTTTAAAATATGATTGACAAATTAGTCTTTTTATGTCATTCCGATTTGACTTTTTGGACAAAAATATATTTAAAGATGACATGTGCTACTTAATCAATGTTTGAAAATGAAAAAAGTTGGGCACATAATTGTTACGATAAAAAAAAATTGAGGACCTAATGTGCAATTAGAATGTGATCCTTTTGTTCAAAAGCTTCTTGCCTAATGACATTTGCATCCGTCCAATTAATCACTTTCCTTTTTCGCACTTCTAAATAAAGGTGGCATTGTCCAATTCGATCCAGTTCTCTTGAAAATTGATCGAACTGTACGTACATCAAACGTTGATATTGAAACTATATCACTATGATAAAAAATATATGAATTGAATTGCTATTTTAAATATTGAAGATCAACTTGCTACGGAAACAATATGTTTCAAAAATTTCTGCACATTTAAATGTTTGGCTCACGTTCATGAAGGTTTATAAACGTTCAAGACAATTCACAAGTGCTAACTATTTATCATTATTTATTTTTATTTAAACAATTTATAAACACTTCCCCCAATATATATATATTTTTTAATTTTTCTTTTCATGTCCATAAAAGAAATGTATTTAATTAGAAGCTAATTGATAAGATTAGTCACAAAGGGAGCAATAATCAAGGTTCACGAAGACCGCGACACGTGCACTAGGCAGCTCCCAATGCCCTGAATCTCGATAAATCCCGTGCTTGACGTGCCCATGCCTCCTTAACCCTTTTCCCCTCGATAAAATATGGAGCTCCAATAATTAGGTGCAATCTGACTTTCTACACAAAATATAAACGTGTCAACAAATACCTAAACAGCTTTAGGACTTTAGGGATTTACTGTTCTGATATGATTATTTTTGTTGATTTCAGTATGTTGTACAATCTTTACGTGTCTAGAAATCTTAGACAGGTCCTCATATTGAAATCGGAAAATAATTTAGTTTCGTGCATAAAAAAATTGGACATGAATCCTAAATCGACACTCCCAAAATCCTAAGTTATATTTATGATTAACTAGTGGTAATTGTTAAGATTTGTAGTCCCATCTTAAAATTTCAACTTTATTAAGAGGAGTAACACAATTTTTTATAAATTAGTCTATGCTTTCATTTTTATTTGATGTAAGATTTTATCCCTTAACATGCCCCTGCAAGATGGTGGCTCGTTTGATCAGACCAATATTGAAATTCGTGTGCTTAATTTTTTGAGTCTTGATCGAATCGAATTGCTCGTTTGAGCCTAATAGACTCTGATACCATGTTAAGATTTTGAGTTTTCATCTTAAAATGTCGACTTTATTAAGAGGAGTAACCCAACCTCTTATAAATTGGTCTATATTTTCATCTTTATTCGATATTGAATTTTATCCTTTAACCTCAATATCTCAAAATGTCACCAATGTATCATATAGTTAATTGTATAAACACGCCATATTCCCTTCCATTATTTGTTTTTTTTTTAAAAAAAAATTCACTGTTTTTGCCATTACATGTCTGTCTCTGTATCTAACCTGTCCATATCATATAAATATTATAATTATTAAATGTAGTGATGGTAGAGAGATTCTAGTGGGAATAATTTAATTGGTGCACGATTNTTTTTTTTTTTTTTTGATATTGCTGGCTTCTTTTGAACCAGCAAGTGACTCACTTTGGTACCAAATCTAACACGAGCAAAATTTTCTGTACATTTTTTAATTTTCCAATTGATGTTGGAACACATTTACATGATTTAAATAACAAAATTATTGTACCATTTACATACCTTATTATAAAATTATAGTGTCCATTCGAATCGATACCATTTGGTGAAAGGCTACTTTTTATTGTGCCGTGTTGTCACTATAGTTGATTATTTAATTGAAATAATGATAACATAAAGAGGATGACGGAAAATTATTTACACATCCTATTTTAAGATTTAGATCAGATATGACGATTCAATCTAAAAATTTGAGAATTAGTATGAAATGTAATTCATTTACGTGTAAATTTTTTTAGAAAGTATAAAGGTTGTTTCTTCATCGAAGTTAATCCCAATTTGACCTTAACTTATTCTAACTCAATGTTTGGTCCAGTTGCTAAAACATTGGTAGATGTTATTCGAAAGGATGAGCGTCTCGTCCCACTAGCAAGCCAAGCTAAATCGACTCATGTCCGAAGTGAGCTGAGGGTACGAAACAATCATGAGCTAGCTTGCCCCTTCAAAGGACAATCGCGATCTCGTGAAGCAAGTCTAGACATGCTTTGATTAAGCAAAACAGCTCATGCTCGACTCGACTCGACTCACTTACCACGCCTACAAACTAGTGCCAAACAAACCCCCTGCTGTCTCTATTGTTTGCTTGTAAGCGAGAGAGAGGACCGGGGGGGGGGGGGGGGGGG